GCTGCCCTGTTCGTCCAATGGCCACCAATTGCATTCTACAGCGTATTCTCCATGGTTGCTCCCCGTGTGAACCTTCCTTTTTCTCGATTCCCCTGATGCCCGTCGCGCCGCTATGTTTCGCATCGGCGCCCGGTCGTTTTTTTTTTTTTTTTTTTTGCTCCAAGCCCAGCCCTCGCGCCGCAACTGCAACTTCTGGTGTGGCCTGTTCTTCGTTGAGGGGCCAGGTGGCATGAAACTGACCTTCTGCCAATCGTCGAGCTGTTGTTCAGCGCTGTTGTTCGGCGCTGTTGTTCGGCGCTGGTGTTCAGCGCTGTTGTTCAGCCCGGCCGGGGTCGTTATGTTCAGCGCTGTTGTTCGGAAGTGGGGCTCAGCCAGTGCATCGCATCTGCCGCGCCGTTCGGGCGTCTCTGCCAAGGCGCTCCGCTGCTCGACTTGGGCCGACGTGTCACTGATCTTCCTGGGTCGGCCAGGGCTCGTGGCTGGGCGCACTTTTGGCCGACGGATTCGACCCCGTTACTGCAGAGTTGCGCTTCCAAGTCTTCGTGCATGCAATCAATCCTTCGCCGTCCTTGGGGCCGCGCAGCTTGCCCCGCACCTTGGCGCTCTCTAGCCTTTCGGTTCGGATGCGCCGTGGGGCCATCCATCTGGTGGATCTTGTGCTCCTCCACGAAATATTCGCCACCGCGTTTATCTTCTTCCCTCTTCTTCTCTGCGGTGCCCTTTTTTTTGCGCGCCGATGCCGTCGTTCTCCCATGTCGCGTTCTTGTCCATCATCTTCAAAGCTAGGATCTGGTACAGCTCCGTCCGTTGCTTCCAAGCCCGCCGGCATTCTGGGCGGAGGTGGTTTAGGGTGTTTCCTCTTCCACTCCCCTTCTTCCCTTTCTGAGAAGGGTTTACGTCTCCCCCTGACCCCTGCCCCGGAATCTGGAGGCGGGGGGCGGGGGGGGGGGTCGGTGGCGCGTTCCAGATGGCCTCGGCGAGGAAGCCAAAATCATTGATCTCACAACTGTTTAGACAACAGAATGGCCTCCTGGACGAGGGGGGTGCTAATTTAATGCGAGCCCCCCTTTGATTAATCTTCTCCAAGATGGCCCCAATATGGGCCCCGAGGCTCCCGAAGGTGCCCCGCGACAGCCCCAAGATCTGCAGTGTGCCCCAAGAGGCCCCCAAGAGGCTCCCACGCGACTCCCCAAACCGCCCTCCTTTGATCGATCTCTTCCAAGATGGCCTGGGCGCGGAAGCCAACACCACTGATGTTACTAATGTGTTGGCCACATTTTTTGCTTGTGGTGGCGGCGATGCTGACTTATTCTGGTCCCCCTTTCACGCGTCCAAGAAACTTCAAGACGGCCCCAATACGGCTTGGCAGGCCATTCGAACCCTCCAAGGACCCCCCCAATATGCCGAACTAGCTCCAACACCCAAGGAGAATCATGCGTTGCGTGTTCTCGCATGTTCGCTCACGATGAGCCTCGGAGGCTTCGAGGTGGCCCCGAGACGGCCGCAGCCCCGAGACGGGCCCAGGAAGGCCCCCAGAACCCAAGAGCACCAGGGGCGGGATGGGGCCCCCAGGGGAGATGGGGACTGGAGGGGGGCACTGTCCCGCGGGCGGATCAGCCCGCGGCCTCGTCCTCCGAGCCTGATTGGCGACTCTGGCCTGTGGGGGTCTCGAACTCATGCTTCTCGTGCAGAACTGCACTAAGCTCAGCGCTTCGCGCCGCCCGCCTGAAGACGTGGCCAGGTGGCCTAGAGGCCCCTGTCCGGGGGCGGCCGCGAGCTTCTGGCGGCCGCGCCCGGCCGCCTTCGCGGGCGGTCGCGCGCGCGGCGGCGGCGCTGCAGCGCAGAGAAGAAACAAGAACAACGGGGAAGGAGGGGGGAAAGGACGAGGGCGAAGGGGGAAACGACCGCTGCGCTCAACGCGCGGCGAGAGCGAACGGGGCGAGGACGCGGCCGCGGGGCGTGAACCGCCAGACCCCGCCGTTTGGCGCACGCGCCCGCGTCAAACGCGGAGAGGGGGCCAGGAGGAGGAGGGGGAGGAAGAGGAGGGAGGGGAAAGAGGAACAACGCGGCGAGCTAACGCCAAAATGTAGGGGGAGAGCGGGGAGGCAACGGCAGCAGCAGGTAAGCGCGCACGTTGGGGGCAGGCGGGGGGCGGGGGGGGGCGGGGGGCGGTCGGTTGCAGCCAGAAGGTTGTCGTGGGTCGTCGGCGGCAGCCGGGGGGTCGTCGGGGGTCGCCGTGGGTGGCGGGGGGTCGTCGGGGTCGTCGTGGGTCGGGGGTCTGAGGGCCTCATAGCAAGGCCCGCCAGGCGTCGGGCGTGGCGGGCGGGGTCGCCAGCGGGGGCGGGGGCAAGGGCGGGCCTGGGGCGGAGGGGGGGCCGCCGCGGGGCTCTGCAGAGGCAGCTCATCCGGCATCCGCCGTGGCGGCTGCCGTGGCCGTGGCCAAGCGCGCGGCCGTCGCGCCCGCTCGCGGCTGGAGGCGTCGCAGCACTTCCCGTGCATTTTCCCTCTGCAGGGAAATTGAAAATCGCTGGGCAAGCTGGTCGGCCGCGAGAGCGGCGTCGTCTCGGGTAGCGTAGACTGCGCGCTTGGCAAGCACCGCGAAGGCGCGTCGCGCCTCGCGGCCCCCTCCGCCGCCGTGGGCTTCGCATGCGATCGGTGTGAACGCCAGGCCGGCCTCTGAACATCTTCGCGCTTTGTCCAGGTGCAGGCGTTTCTGCTCCTCGTAACGGGTCGCCGCCGCGACGCCGCTGCCCTCCGCGGCCGAAGTCGCGAGTAGGTCCGCGCGGGGGCCCCGAGGTCCCGGCGAAGTCCGACGCCGCCGGCGTGCCGCATCGCCACCGCGGAACGACGACGTCCGCGGGCGCCCCCCGTCGCCGTCCATGTCGTCGCCGCCGGCCTCCCCGGCCAGGGGGCCCTCGCCGGGCGCGCGCGGCGGCAGCAAGCCCAGGCGCTCGAGTTTCTCGTCCCAGCGCTGCCACCAGCCAGCGCCCCGTGCCAGGCCTGGTTCCAGAAGCAGTTGTGGCGCCTCGTGCGGTCGCCGCGGCGGCTGCAAGGGAGCGTGTGGGTTGCGACCACGTCCATCACCTCCCCGCGCGCGGGGCAACAAAAAACTCCTCCTCGAGCAGCTGGTGTCGAAGGCGGCCTTGCAGCGCCACTTGCGTCGAGCTGTGCGGAAACTCAGTGCCGAGTGCCGGGCACGGCGGCGCCTGCAGATAGGCGCTGGCGCCTGGGGCTGCCACTGAGTTGAGATGGGCTCTCGTGGCCGGCGAAGCGCGTTGCCACAGGTCGTCGCGGACAGCGTCGTCCACCTTCTCGGAAAGGACCCGTTGGTCTCCGTGCTGGGCAGGGTCGAAGGCGATGCAGTCTGCTGGAAGAACTGTCGTTGAAGGTCTGCGTGGCCGCGGCCAGGCTGCCCCCGTCTCCGCCGTCGGTGTTGGCACACCCGTCACGCGTTTCGTGGTCCCACAAGGAGCTCCACCGAAGGCCCAAGCGGCGGCGCCCGCATTGCGACGCCGCTCTTTTGTGGCACACACCCCACACGTTTCGCCAGGCGGCCGAGTCTGCTTTGCGCCGCAGCTTCCATGTCCGTTCACCTCTCACGCGTTTCGCAACCCCGTAAGGAGCTCTACCGAATACCCAAGTGGCAACGTCCGCAAGGCGGCGCCCTGCTCGTTTCGGTCACCCCTTGCACGCTTCGTGGCCCTGCAGGGCACTCCCCACCTTCTTCCCGCCTGCCCAGCGACAATCACACCTGCATGTAGTTGGGTCCTTCGCACACATTGTTTTAACTCGGCCACTTGCGATTTCAATTGCGTGGTTTCAGTCTTGTGCTCGTTACCGCAGCTAATAGTGCCCAATAAAGCGGCGTTCGATTTCCTGAACATCCTCATTTGCGTCATCGCGTGCTCGCTCGGCACGTTTTGTTGCCCGTGCGATCTTGCTCTTCAAGGTAGTTCGTCATCGCGTCATGGTTAGCCTGCAGGCCAGCATCGGCGAACTCACAATCACCGTGGTTGTGCGTGGTAAGGCAGTTAAGTCCAACAGTGGTGTACTCTATCCATTCTTGTCGCGTGGTAGGCATTCCTGCACACGCAGGCGTTGCCATAAGCTCGCTCCGCCACCTTGCTCAGTTTAACAGAACGACGAAAACTAGGATTGAACCCTCTTTTACAACAAGCGGTCGACGTTGAGGTACAATACTATGCCACACCGCCTGACGGCGGTTCAGCATCCTCCAACTCTCTTCTCCCTCCTCCCTGCGCCCTGCTCCTCCTTCACCTCCATCTGTCTGCTCCTCCGCCTCCGTTCCCCTCCCTCCTCCCTCCTCCCTGCTCCCTGCTCCGTCCTCCCTGCTCCCTCCTCCTGGGCACTGGTCTTTCAAGAGGGCGCTTCTTGCAGTGGAAAAGAAAGCCTGTAGGGACTTAGGAGGAAGGAACTTGGGACGGTCGGGTGTATTGCAATATCGCTGAAGCATCCCGGATATACTCTGGTCGGCGTCGTCCTCCTCCTCCTCCTCCTCCTCCTCCTCCTCCTCCCGACGAGCTTCGAGGCACTGGGCCGCGGCAGCTTTTCAGACCCGCGCAGGGGTCCGAAGAGCACCCCTAACCACGAAGGCCTGGGAGAAGAAGTCAGAAGAAGTCGGGAGGCGATAACGGCTTTTTGTTGCGGGGGTCCCTCATGAACTATCTGCTGCACAACTCGATAGAAGGCTACAGTCGGACTTGATTGGAGAGGACACGCCAGAGGACACAAGACCCTTCCGAGGGCCACGTTGCCACAGGAATGTGGGAAGCACGGGTCGAGAGACACAGGACACAAGGGTACCCTTGATTTGGCAGGGTCGACCTACTAATCAGGGTCGACTGTGCACCTCCTCACACTTTTTCCAGCTCCTCCCCTTTCACCCCGCGGTCTCCCTGCCTTCCCCTACGCCTGCCTTCGGCGACGCGGGCCTGAGTCCTCTTTTCGTCCGGGCGCCTGCGCTAGAGAGGAGCGGCATCTCAGATCGCGTGCGTCACAGTGCCCAGAGGCTGGCCCATAGAGGCCAACAACGCTGCCATCTGGCGGTCCTTCTCGAGATTGGCCGCGCGCAGCTGGTCGCACTCCATCTCCAGCCGGGCTCTGTCGGCAAGTGCGGCGTTCAGCTGCACATCCATCGCCGCTCTCTCCGAGCGCATCCGCGCGTCCATCGCGGCCTTCTCCGCGTGCAGCGACTGCACTACCTGCATCAACACCTCGCGCGACGCGTCGTCGGCCGACGCCTCCGCGCCGGGCTGCCTCTGATCGTCGTTTCACCGATCCCCATCCCCACTGGCATGGCCTTGGCCGCACTGGCCGATTTACCCCCCCCCCTGGATGGGGATGTATGCCGTTCCCTTCGGGTCTCGCGGGGCGCACCCCCATCTTGGGGGGGGGGGGTCTGGCGGCTGAGATGCCGTGGCCCGGTGGGGGTGGGGACCGGGTGAACCTCGCCGCGCCTCGAGGCTGCGGGCGCGGGCGAGGGCGTCTCCGCGCAGGCGCGCGGCTGCCTGGGCCCGCCCCCCAGCGGCGGCGACGCCGGCTTGCGGCTCGGCGTCGGGCTCCGCGCGCCCTCCGCGCCGCCCGGCGGCGGGTCGGACAGGCGCTTCGGGCCCGCGGCGCCGGGCGCGGGGCCCGCGGGCCCGCGCGGCGCCGCCCGGGCGGCCTGCTGCGGGCGCTGCCGCCGCGCCTCGGCGTCGGCGGCGCCCGCCGCGGGCTGGGAGCGCTGGCGCCGCAGGCCGTCGGCCTCCGCGCCCTCCGACTGCCGCCGCAGCAGCCGGTGGGACACCGGGCTCCCGGAGCGCTCCGTGTGCGCCGTGCGCGCGCGCTCGCCGCCCGACGGGGAGCCGCAGTCCGCCTCGCCGGCAGCCGCGGCGCCGCGGCGGCGCGCGGCGGAGCTCGGGGTGGCGGAGCCGAAGGTGGCGGTGGCGCGGCCCTCGGGCGCCGTCGAGAAGGTGAAGTCCATGGGCGGGCACTTGGCCCGGGAGCGGTCGCCCTTGGGCGTCTCGGCCTGCGGGTCGGTGTGGGCCCTGCGGCTCGGCGTCAGCGAGCGCTGGCGCCACTTCACGGGCTCGGTGGCCGGGGCCCTCGAGCCCATCAGCAGCGGCGCCAGGGGGGAGGGCTCTGCCGCGGCGGGGGCGCCCAGCGCCTCTGCAGCAGACCCGGGCAGCACTGCGCGGCCAGCAGTGGGGGGCATGGGGGTGGCTGTCCGGACGACCACCGAGCCCTTCACGCTTGAGGTGCGCTTGGCGTACTCCAGCGTGTTGTTGGAGTCCTCGAAGTGGCTCTTGCCAGGATGCACGTTTGCGATCATGGACACCAGCCCCCCCGTGACCAGCGAATTCTTCAGCAACAGCGTCAGCTTCGAGTCCCGATAGGGAGGCTTCCTCTGAGGCGTCTTAGCGCGCTCGCGGGCGTCCGGGCGGCTCTCGCGGACCACCTCCGAGACCTCGTTGGCGGTGGCCCGCCTCTCGGCCGCGCGGCTGCTTTCGCCGAGGGCGTTAATGCAGTTGGCCAGGGCCAGCAGCGACTGGTTGATCTTCGCGCCATCGCGCAGCGCCGAGCCCACGTTCTGCGTCTGCGAGGCTCGCTCGGAGCCGGCCAAGTCTATGAGGCAGATCTTGCTGTTCTGGTTGCGGCGGGGGCCCTCCATCTGCAGCATGAAGACCGCATGCGAGCGCGAGGAGCGCTGGTTCATGGCGGTGCTCTCCACCTTGCGCAGCTGCAGGCCAGCCTGGAGCAGCTCCAGCGTCTCCTCCGTGGAGCCCACGGCGACCTCGCTCAGGTTGCCGATCTTCAGCAGGCCTCTCCGCTCATCCTCCATGAGGCTGCAAAGGTACCCCCCGCCGCCCTCCGTTGGCTGCAGCAGGTCGTAGAGCTTCTCGTTGTAAAGCTCCAGGAAGGACACCCTCACCTGCGTTCGGTGGCAACTCATGCGAGCCTCCAACACTATCTTGTTGGCTATTGCGAATCGACGTTAGTCGACGCTAAACCGAGGCACATGAACGCTAGCCGACGCTAATCGATGCTACATCGGCGCTATCTCATCGACTACCAGGCGCTAGTCGAGGCGAATCAACGCTGACCGACGCTAATCAACGCTAGATCGGCGCTATCTCATCGATTACCAGAAGCTAATCGACGCGAGTGTACTCTAAAGACGGCATTGCGAGGGTATATACGGCTCCCATGATTTACTACCGAACCTGCGGCCGCGCGGCCTCTTCCCTCTCGGCGATGGCGGCGAACACCTCGTGTATGGCCCGGTAGATCAGGCCCTGCTGGCGCTCGTCCCTCTCGCCGAACATGGTGTGGGTCTTGCCGGCGCCAGTGGCGCCGTAGACAAAGATCGTGGCGTTGGTGCCTTCCTCGATGGCACCCTGCACCAGCGGTTGGCAGCACCAGGCGTACACCTTCAGAGGCAGAAGAAAAACAACATGAACATAATCTTTCGGAGGTCCGCACGGATTTCTTGGACGACGCATCCTCTGCGCTCCGAGACGCCGCGCGAGAGGTGGTCCGGCGCGTTTCGCCTGAGACATCCTCACAACTCTGGGCTCCGAGCTGCCGCGCGCGAAGTGGTCCGCCGCATGTCGCCTGAGACATCCTCAAAACTCTGGGCTGTGAGATGGCGCGCGAGAGGTGGTCTGGCCCGTTTTGCTTGCGACATCCTCGCGAGTTTCGGAAACGCTGCGAGACAGGTGGTCCAGCCCGTTTCGCTGGAGACATCCTCGCACTCGTGAGCTCCGAGATGTTGCGCGAGAGGTGGGTGGGCGCGTTTCGCCTGAGACATCTTCGCAATTCTGGGCTCCGAGCTGCTGCGCGCGAGGTGCTCTAGCCTGTTTCGATTGAGACGATCTGCCAGCTCTGAGCTCCGAGATGCCGCGCGCGAGGTGGTCTGGCCCGTTTCGCTTGAGACATCTTCGCGACTCTGAGCCCCGAGATGCCGCGCGCGAGGCGGTCTGGTGTTTTTCTTCTGAGACATCCTCGAAACTCTGGGCTCCGAGATGCCACGCGCGAGGTGGTCTGGCTTGTTTCACCTGAGACATCCTCGAAACTCTGAGCTCCGAGATGCCACGCGAGAGGTGGTTCGGTCCGTTTCGCATGAGACATCCTCGCAACTCTGGGCTCCGAGATGCACCGCCTGAGGTAGCCTGGCCCATTTCGCCTGACACATCCTCGAAACTCTGAGCTCCGAGATGCCGCGCGCGAGGTGGTTCGGTCCGCTTCGCTTGAGACACCCTCGCACCTCTGAGCTCCAACAGGGAGGAGGGAGGAGGGAGGAGGCAGGATGGGTCAGACACAGACGAACCACTTGATTCCACTTCTGCTGTCGAGATGTGCTCCGGGAGGAGCCTGGCCGCCGCTTGATGCATCCTCGCAGCTCGAAGCTCCGAGCGCGAGGTGGTCTGGCCCGTTTCGCCCGAGGCGTCCTCGCAACTCTGAGCTCCGAGATGCCGCGCGCGAAATGGCCCAGCCCGTTGGCTCATCCCTCCTCCCGCCTCCCTCCCCCTGCCTCCCACCTGCCTCCTCCTCCCTCCTCTCACCTCTCGTCTGCCGCGCCTCTGCCTCTGCCTCCACGTCGCCGTCTCCGTCAGTTCGGCCGCCGCCTCAGTATCTGCAGCGCCCGCCCCGCCTTCCACCCTCCCCAGGTGAGCGTTTTCTTATTCAGCATTTCGACATTGGGCGGAAGGGGGGGGGGTCTGGCTCCAAACCTCTGCTCAATACGACTGTTTGCAACAGGGCGTCCGTTATGGGGGAGGCTCCACCTGCTCGAAACAGGCCTCAACAGAAACAGCCAAGATCCACTTCAGGGGAGGGGCGGGGGTGGGAGGGCCCGCGCCGACCGGCAAAACGAGGAATAAAAAAACGATCACCAGACATCCGCAGTGACGACTTTTTTTGTTTCAAGATGCGGCCCCACGGACCTCTCGACCCCATCATGGCCCCAGCGTCACGTTCTCTTCAAGGAGCTTGCCAAACGGGGTGGTCGTGACACATTCTGGTGTCGAGGGAGGGGCTCGCAAAGGCATCCTCAAGAAGATGTGGCGGCCCGAGCTGTTTTGCAAGAGACATCCTCAGACCTCTTGGTTGACTCAGTCGGGATTGGGCGTTTCGCCCGAGACGTCCTCGCAATTCTGGGCTCCGAGGTGCCGCGCGCGAGGTCGTCCGGCGCGTCTCGCCCGAGACATCCTCGCAACTCTGAGCTCCGAGGTGCAGATCGCCAGGTGGCCGGCCCGTTTCGCATGAGACGTGCTGCCGACTCAGAGCTACGAGATGCCGCCGGCGAGGTGGTGCGGCCCGTTTCGCCTGAGACATCCTCGCAACTCTGAATTACGAGATGTCGACCGCCAGGTGGCCAGCCGGTCTCGCATGAGACGTCCTGCCGACCTAGAGTTGCGAGATGCGGGTGGTTCGGTCCGTTTCGATTGAGACATCCTCGCAACTCTGAGCTCCAAGATGGCAAGGCGGCGGTCCAGCGCGTTCCGCCTGAGACATCCTCACAACTCTGAGCTCGGGGAGGCCGCGCGCGAGGAGCTCCGAGCGCGAGGTGGTCTGGCCCGTTTCGCCCGAGGCATCCTCGCAACTCCGAGATGCCGCGTGCGAAATGGCCCAGCCCGTTGGCTCATCCCTCCTCCCGCCTCCCTCCCTCTGCCTCCCACCTGCCTCCTCTCGCCTCCCGCCTGCTGCGCCCCTGCCCCCGCCTCCCCGTCGCGGCCTCCGCCATGTCTGCCGCCTCCACATCCGCCGTGCGCGCCCCGCCTTCCGCCCTCCCCGGGCATCCCACGTCACGGTTTTTGTTTTTCAAGACGTGGGCACGCGGACCTCCCACGACGCGGCCCGCGGTCTTTCCCGTGGGCGCATGACGAGCGACGTGGCACACAACCCGGTACATCCCCCCTGATTATGTAGTACCCCGCAGTTGCGGATAATTAAGAGTGAGGGGGCGGTGGGGTCGTCGGCGGCCTGCAAGGCTCGGACGAAGCCCGCCGCAAGCGCCGATTTTAAATCAAATGATGCAACGAGCCTGCCGCAAGCGCCGAATTTTTCGTCAAAGCAAATGGGTGGATCGTGGGTGGGTCGCGGGTGTGTCGCGGGTGAGTCGCGGGTGAGTCGCGGGGTGGGTCGCGGGGTGGGTTGCGGGTGGGTCGCGGGTGGATCGCGGGTGGGTCGCGGGTCGGGTTGCGGTAGGGACGATGACAACAAACAACAAACAACAACCTACAAACAACCAACAACCAACCACCGACCAACAACCAACAACCAACAAACAACACCAACAACAACACCCCCATCAACATCACCAAAACCACCAACACCAACTCCACCACCAACAACACCACCAGCAGCAGCAGCTGTAGCAGCACCAGCACCAGCAGCAGCACCACCACCACCACCACCACCAACATCAACAACAACAACAATCCGCACCGCGGAATCACAATTCAGCCACGCACCCAGGGACAGCGAATGACCGTTCGGCCCCCTCACTCTGACATTACAAGCGCCATGGTTTCCCGCCTCGAAAAGACGTGCGAACGCGGTTGGAAACCCTTCTGCATTCGAAAAGTTCTGTTTGGGGATGCGGTATTCTGTCTACGAAGCAGTTTTGCTCCTTCGAACCTCCTCCTGCGTCGCCTGTGGGCCGAACACGCGGTCGAACGAGCGCTCCTCGTACCGCCCCTGCTGCGAGGAGAGGTACTCGTTGCCGCCGGTCGCGCCCTCCTTGCGGATCACGATGGTGCCCTGCCCGAGCACCTCTATGATGCCCGCGTCCCCGGGCACGGGCCGCACGCGCACCGCCACGCGGATGTTGCTGCCGTGGGCGGCGGAGCCCTCGGTCACGGAGGGCTCCATCGCCTAAAACGGGGCTAGGATCGGGATAAATCGCTCCAGAGCGTTCCGGAGCGCTCTCAGAGCGTTCCAGAACGCTCTGGAGCGGCCGCGGCGCCCAATACATCCTCCAAACCCGCCGCTTCTCAGAGATTTCGAGTTATCCCGCTCCGATTTTGTCCCGATCTTCGCGTCGCCTTATCGCCGAGGAGGAGGAGGAGGAGGAGGAGGAGGAGGAGGAGGAGGAGGAGGAGGAGGAGGAGGAGGAGGAGGGCTCCATCGCCTCCTGCAGCTCCTCCAGCGCGGCCCCCAGCGAGGGCGCGGCGCTATCGTGCTCGGGGCCGGGCGAGGCGGCGAGCTGCCGGCCGCAGGCCTGCAGCGTCGGCGACAGGGCGCCGGCGCCGCCCAGCCCCACCGCGGCGGCCGGCCCGCACCCCGCGCCGCCGGGGGCGCTCGGCAGCGGCATGGGCGGCGGAGCGCCCCCAGCCGCCGCGGGCCGCCCCGGGGGCTCCGGGCGTGGGCCTCGCGTGGAAGCCAAAAAACGGAACCGATCATGCGGGAGGACGATGAATTAGAAAAATGGGAGAGAACGATTGAACAAACATAGTTTTCTGCTATTGCTGCAGAATTGTCGGACTGGAGGAGAGCGATAAAACATAATTTTCCAGCCCGCGGCAGGTTTTCTCTAATCGTCATCCCGGGCTCCGGGCGTGGGCCTCGCGGGGAAGCCAAAAGTCATGTTGCATCCTCGGGGGGCCTTGTCTGTCCCGTCGCGGCCCTGTCCGCGTCGAATCCGTGTCGAGTCCGTGTCGGACGCGGCAGACCCGTGTCGAATCCGCGTCGAATACACGCCAAATCCGCGTCGAGTCCGCATCGAGCACGCGTCGGGCCCCCCAAAAGACACCAAGTTTTGGGACAGGCGAGGTCCCCCGAAGATGCAACAGAACAAAAGGGACCGATCCCGCCGCTCCCCAGACCTCTCTCCAGGGGTGCGCTCTGGCCAGGATCTCGAGGCGAATGCAGCCCCGTGGCGACGAGGGCCTCCCGGGAGGCCCAGCAACGACGACGAGGCAGGGGCAGCAGTTTCGGTACTCCAGATTTCGTAGTAAAGGGAGGGGGGTCTCATTTCGGGGGGGGTCTCTTCCAGGCTGTCTTGGAGGGCCTGGGGGGGTCTGGGGACGATGTTTTGGAGGGTTCTCCCACGGGGGGGGCCTGAAATGGCTTGTCTTGGAGGGTCCAGACCCCCTCCCTTTTATTACGAATTCTGGAGTACCCTCCCCGACATCGGGCCGCTCCTTTTTTTATCGAGGCGTGGGCCCCCGAGGCTCGAACCACTGCCCCGGGGGCCGGTCTGTCAGCCTATATCGACGTCGTTTTTTTGGTTGACGCCCCTGAGGCCCGGCGAGGGCCCCCGGCGAGGCCGAACCTCTGGACCGAATCCCGCCGCTCCGCTTTCTGTTGGGGAGCCCACAGAGGACGTCCGCGCCCAGCTGTGTACACGAACACGGCCCCTCGACTCGCGAGGCCGACCGCGTGCTACGAACATATTTGAGCCATGCGCGCTCTCGAAACCAGCGTGGACTCATGTACACGTACGCCCTTCTTTCGCTCCTGAAGTCTGTGGGCTCTCCTTCGGGGATGGACAGACCTCCCTTTAGTAAAACGTGGTTTAGTGAAAACGACCTGAGGTTCAAACCTGGCGGGCGCAAGCCTGGAAAATAACGGCCGCGGCGCCCTCTCGAGAACCGAAAACGGACAATTCACTAATCGACGTGTCACTGTTGGGGGTTCTGTCCACCCCCGACTCCTCCTCATGGCCTCCGGCGCGGCGGCGGCGGCGCGGCAGTCGGGGCGGCACAGCGGCGCCGCCGCCGGCCCGCAGGCCGCCGCGGGGCCCTCGGCCGAGGCGCGCCCGCCCGGCCGGCGGCGCTGCGGGCGCGCAGGCCTCGAGGCGCCCGCGCGCGGTGGCCGTGGCGGAGGGCGGCGGCCGCCCGAGGGCGGCTGCCCCGCGGTGGGCCGCTCGTGGGCTGCCCCCCCGGGGCCAAAGTGGCTGCAGGGAGCAGGCGCGCCGCAGCGAGGGGCGGGGGCGCGGCCGTGCCCGGATGTGGTTGTTGCTTGCCTGCTTGCTTGCTTGCCTGTTTGCTTGCTTGCTTGCTTGTTTGTTTGTTTGTTCGTTTGTTTGTTCGTTTGTTTTATGTGTTTGTTTGTGTGCTTGATTGTTGTTTGTTTGTTGTTGCTGCTATTGTTGCTGTTGTAGTTGCTGTTTGTTTTTGGTTGTTGTTGTTCGTTGTTGTTGTTGTTGTTGTTGTTTTTACTGTTGCTGTTGCTGTTGCTGTTTTGTTGCTGTTGCTGTTGCGGTTGTTGGTGTTGTTGTTGTTGTTGTTGTTGTTGTTGTTGTTGTTGGTTGTTGTTGGTTGTTGTTGGTTGTTCTTGTTGGTGGTGTGGTGGTGGTGGCGGTTGTTGTTGTTGGTGGTGGTGGTGGTGGTGGTTTGTTTTCCGTTTCTCGTGACCCGGGACGAAGAGCCGGCCCCGGGGAGCGGGTCGGGGCTGGGCACGAGCACAGCACGAGCCGAGCTCGAGCAGGAGCGGAGCAGGGACCCGAGAGGACATCCCCCCACTGCTTTTGAGTCGGGCGTGTCCCCCTACAGGGGGATTTTCAACGAGTAATAAAACATGCGAAACAAAGATTCCAGAATGGCAACAAAAATACTCAAAACTAGTCCCCAGACTATTTTTTGACTATTTCTTAATTTTCCCCCTGTAGAGGGACAGGCCCGACTTAACACTGCTGGTCGCTCCCCTGCGGCGCGTCCAATACCCCAAATACCACCAAGCACGACCAATCAACATCGCATCCAGAAGTCGGATCGAATCCATCCAACTGTGCGTCGGATCGGGATGCGTCAGCACGGACCCATCATCGAAGCGGATCGGCTGCGCTATGATGTACCACAGCGCCACGCAATTGGGAGCCCCCAAACCAGGTGGTGAGATATCAGGTGGTGACCTGGAATCCCCCAAAAGTCACCCCTGGGTTTTGGGACACGGGCTCACCGCCGGGTCTTGTGACTCCTGGGCCCACCAGCGTTCGGGACATCCTCGAACAAGCGCATGAGTCCCCAAACCGGGTGGTGACACCAAATCGCCCGAGACTCACCGCCAGGTGTTGTCACCACCACGTTTGGGGATTACCAACGCAAGCATCGGGACGCATCACATCGCCGGAATATCGCAGTCGCCTCGGATGAGGCTGGCTGGAATCGATATCACACTGGACCGATCGGATCGAAGCGGACCCTGCCAAGAGGCCCGCAAGAGGCCTCCCGAGAGCTCCGAGAGGGCCCCTCCCACGAGGCTCTCCCAAGCGCGGAGGCAGGTACGCGCGGCAACGCAAGTTGATGATGCAAGATCGAGACACATGTCTCGTGGCTATGCAAAATCTATATCGGAGGTTGGGGGTGCGAGCGAAATGGAACAGGAAGCCTCCCACCACTGGGAACTCGGTTTCGGTTTCGGTGTCGGGTTCGTGTCGTGCGTGCCGTGCGGGCGAGGCGAAGCTGCAGGGGCAGGCGAGAAGGATGACCCTGTTATGGTTAGGGCGGGTCAAGACAAAAAACCGCCGCTGCGGTGGGCCGGCGTGGGCAAAGTTGTCCCGCCGTGGCCCGTCGGCGTCCGCGGGCGGTGGCCGGGGGTGTCCCGCGGTGGTGTCCCGTCGGTGTCCCGTCGGTGTCCCGTCGGTGCCGCGTCGGTGTCCCGTCAGTGTCCCGTCGGTGTCCTGTCGGTGCCCTGTCGGTGTCCCGTCGGCGTCCCGTCGGTGCCGCGTCGGTGTCCCGTCGGTGTCCAGTCGATGTCCTGTCGGTGTCCCGTCGGTGTCTCGTCGGTGTCTCGTCGGTGCCCCGTCGGTGTCGCGTCGGTGTCCCGCCGTCTGTGTCTTGTCGGTGTCCGGCCAGTGTCCCGTCGGTGTCCCGATTGGTGTTCCGATTGGTGCCCCGATCGGTGGTGTCACGTGGGTGTCCCGATTTGTGTTCTGATGGTGCCGCAAGGGTGTTTCGATGGTGTCTCGATGGTGCCCCGGTGGTGTCCTGATAGGTGCCCCGATTGGTGTTCGATAATGTCCTGGTGGTGTCCTGGCGTTCTACCGGTTGGCGTTTCGGTTGGTGTCCCGATGGTGCCACATGCGGGCCAAGTATTTGCCACCGTCGTCATCGCCATCATGATTTTTCGTGCATCATGCATCATGCATTGTCTTCAGCATCGTTCAGCCCATTGCAATGGCCTAGTCCATTGCCGTCATGCGGTGTCTTCAGCATCGTCGTCTTGTATCGTCGCCAACTCGAGATCGCATCACCAACATCGCCACCATCACAAGCATCGCGGTTGTCCTCAGTCGGTCCTTTTCCCCAACACTCTCCTTATTTCCCGACGGGTGAACGTTTAGGTCATATTGGATGTGGGGGTGAGACCGCAGTGGAATCTCACACCGGGAAGTCGGTTTCGGTTTCATGTTCGTGTCGTGCGTGCGGGCGAAGCGAAGCTGCGTGGGCGCGCGAGAGGAATGACCCCGCCGTCGCTGGGGCGATTCGGATGCAGTGGACCGCCCCTCCGCCCCCTGTGGGCGCGCGGTGGGGTGTCCCGCCGTGGTGTCCTGTGGTGTCCCGTCGGTGTCCCGCTAGTGTCCCGTCGGTGTGTCGGCGGTGGGCGGGGGTGTCCCGCCTTGGTATCGATACTGAAGTCGATAATCAGATCGCTCAAATGGGATGGATCGTGACATAAAGAAAAGACATTGACTGAAAGGTTGATTGCGACATTGGTAGTGCGATCGGTCGTGAGTTGAGGAAGCGATAGTGGTATCGTCATATCGACAGCGCTATATATGTATATGTATATGTATATGTATATGTATACGTATATGTATATGTATATGCATATGCATATGTATATGTATTTGTATAGTATATGTATATGTATATGTATATGTATATGTATATGTATAGGTATATGTGTACATGTGTATGTATGTATGT